CAGGCAAACAAGTTAAGAGAACATAAGCAAGTAGTACACCACCACTTCTTTTTACAGCTTGTGTACACATTGGGAATCCATGGAAGAAAGCTGAAAATTGAAAACTCCAATTGCTGTTTGATGCCACGTTTTTTCGTTTCAAAAGCATTTGAAACACAGATTTTACGCCCCAAAACGGATTCTCTTCATAGTTATTAAAGAGAACAATAAAAGGACAGGAAAAGCAAATAATTGTCTCCATGACCGTGTCAATTTGAAATCTTGTATTAATGAATTCAAGGAATTATCCATCTTCATGGAGAAATGAGCATGAATAGAGAGGGAAACTTTCATGTGGGTTCTCAACATTCCTTTCGATGGGGCAATCCGACCCCTAAAATCTCCATCCCCACCCCATATCTGGATATACTCCAGTCAAAATTATTTTATTACTTATACACCCTCTCTCTCTAATCTCACCCCAGCTGTATAATTGAAGCTCCTGTCAATGGCATCTCCATGTTTGAAACTGTTATAAAAGACATTGGAAATGGTGTCTCCATGGATCGTAGCAGTGGAAATTACTAGATGTTATGTGTTGGAAGTTGGAGTTGAATGGGGTGTTAAGTGATGATATGATTTATATTGCAATGGCAAGTGGGGTTGGTTGTACACAGGCAGTGGTAATGGGATTATGATGTGGTGATGATGGGTTGGGTGGATGGAGTTGATGGTGTAGGGTATAGAGATTGGGTGTTGGTAGTAGTGGTGAGGTGGTGGCGGCGGTGGGTGATGGGATTGTGCGGAGTTGGTTTAAAACACTAATAGAATTGTATGCAAAACAGGGTGGGAATAGCAACTTTTTTAAAAAGATATTAGGAAGTTTAACTAGATGAAAATTTTATATTTTTCCTTTTTATGCTTCTGCTTTGTTGACCATTCTGAGGAATAAAAATTTCTGAAATCCCACACTAAATTAACCGTGCAGTTTCATTACCTGAATCTGACTCGCCGGAGCTCCCTAGTGCCATCAGCTAACTGTCTGATGGTGATGTACACCCCAGGCTCATCTTGCTCCACCCATTCTGACTCCATGTCACTGGCATTGCTAATGGAAATTGAAGCTTCGTCTCTAGAGGAGGTTGTCGTCCGTGATGCATCCATAGATGATGCCCCGCCAGTGGCATAAGCACTTGACCCACCATTGTAGTTTTGGCTGCCACCTTGATCTAGATAATCAGGTGGGAAATGACCTTTACCACCAGAAGGTTTATAATAGTTTCTGGGAGCCCACTCTTTGGGTATCGATGGGGTCATCATAGGGCTTTCCATGGCAGAACCAAGCCTCGAGTAAGATGAATCTCTCTGCAGCAGAAGATCAAAAAATTATCATAAGTAACTCAGGATGTAGTGGCATTTTCTGCTGCCAAGAAGTAATTGACAATATATAAATGTAGAAAGAATACTTCACCTTGAACAAGTTAGTCAAGAGTCCATTGTTTTTAACATAAGATAACAATTATTTGATTGAAGATACTTCAAAAAAACTCAGTAAGATTAATTTCCTGAAATCTAGCACTATTATAGTGACACCCACCTAGCCTGTTATAAAATTCTAAGAAATAAATAATGGCTTTTGCGAGGTGAAAAAGATGAGCTTTGCTTGGAAAGTCTACCATGTTAGAGATGATTTATTTTTATGTTCGTCAAGAATGACCTAAAATACTAATGTGAAACAGTAAAATGCTAATTCCTTCCAATTGAAGGCATCAAAACACAAGATACTATTGCTAATGTGCCCTTTTCAACTATGCCTCTTTTTACACGCAGTGTTGTCACTTATCAGTTGAAAATACTAGATTGTAGAAAAGAAGTGCATATACATTATAAATTATAATGCTCATTGCCATGTGAAAGGAAAACTCCAAAGTTCAAAAAATTATCGTCTAAACCCTCTCCCTGCAAATTGCAAGTCAAACCCTGGACTATCCATCCATCGGTCCTAAGATTCATTGTAAATCCAAAGATCTACTGAAGGATGCAACCTGACTGACACATTATTATCTTTATGGGGGCACCAATTAGATCCTCCCCAGCTTAGATATATTCAGATCTTACTGAGTTGGTTCAACATTAGAAGATCCAGGTTGAATTAGTTGGGTGGAAATGCCTACGGCTACACTACAAGGGGGGAAGGCATCACAGGACCTCAAAATGTCTATTGTCGCACATGAGGGCGTTAAAAAAACTTTATCAGGCAAAAGTATTAGTATTTTTTACAATGAACTATCCTAAACCTTAGCAGCCATATATGAATTGGAGCCACATGGAGATTGTTGCATAGGTAAATAAAGTGATGAAAAGGAGTTGAAATATACAAGTGGAAGGCTACTTACTCCATCTTCAGACATTGGAGGAGTATGAAAAGCTTGCCGGTTGAATCTCTGAACATTGTAAAGCTCCATGATTCGATCAAAATTCTCCCCCCACCATCTCTGAGCTTGCCATTTGTCAAACATCTCTCGGCTTCCAGTTTCAGATGTCCAATTATTGTCAGTGTTTGTGAATTGTGATAAAGGAGTGAATTTACAAGGACAATGGACCGTAAGAGTTAGAAACTGACAAAACTATTAAATGCATAAAGGACTCGAGTTATTAGGGCTAGCTTGGGTCTCCCGCAAGTACTAAGACTGGGTTTTGAAGAATATAATTTTCTAACTGCAAAGTTTTGCTACCAATCCACGTATGCGGCCTCAACACCGGAAAAATGTTTTGGAACCAGGTCGTGTTTTGATTTCATTTTTATGTCAGTCCTAGAATTGAAACTCAATAATGTGGCTAGGAATACTTGATGAATGTCCTTAATGTGTACCTGAAGCGAATTCGTTTTAGATCATTTCCACCATGAGGAAGAGATACAAAAGTGACTTGCACGCCAGGTTCCACTTGCGCCATCCATTCTTTGGGTTCATCCTCATCTTCTACCACCAGTTCACCAGACTGAGCTGAGATAGATTGTTTTCCACCAGGGGTCCAATCACCCCCAAATGCTCCTGTAAACCTTGAATCAGTTGGGTGGTTGCCAGTGCTTGAAAAATTCCAAGCAGGAGTAGAACCGGAGCTTCCTGGCTGAAAGTAAGGGTAAGGAACCCCTTCTGAAATAGTATCGAAGTCAGGATAAGGTCGCTGTCCTTTCTTGTAGGCGCTGGGGCTCGTACAGGGCTTGCATTGCTTATAAGCACCTGAGAATTTTAATGCTATATCCTTAATCTGCAGATAATCAACCATAGACGTTAGGATAACATGCACTGAGGTATTTTCAGCTTTTTAATTAACTAAAATATCTTTTATGTACACCTAGCTTGAAGATCTATGGAGACATTAACCATCATACAATACAGTTAAATAAAAGCAAAGGAATATGTGACGGCTTTAAAATCACAGAATACAATTTCAACCAATTTGGAGTTTCAAGAGTATTCAGGTCCATTTTTATTACTAGTTTTGGCATACAATATGGAGTATAATTGTATATGTGATCCCTCCAGTGAATGTTGATGAAAGATTGGATTAAAAAACTAACCTTTAGATATGAAAACAAGATCAAGGCGCAATCTAGATTGTTTTCTTAAGAACAAAAATAACCTAAATGAATAGGTATAAATGCACTAGGCAAGTGGCATGACAAGCCCAAGGCACAACCTAAGAACTTTTCAGACCAACATGTATTCAAGAAACAATGCAAACCTTATGCTCCACTTCTCCAAACGTTATATACATAATCTAGTTGAAGAATACAAAACAAACACAACCAATGGGACAGGCTTCTTTCATACCAGAAAGAATGAGAACATACGTATATTTGTTTGCGTCTATGTGTGCATGTGTGTGTGAAAGGGGTGTAACTATTTTACTATAACATAGTTCATGGTGCCCATATGCTTTGTAAACAATCAAGAGAAATTGAATGGAATATGGATCTGTTGACATCAAAATATTAATCCAATAGTTTACATTTCACAATAAAATTTAAAAATAAAATCACACGGGATACCTGCTATGGGAAAAGATGTATTATTAAGCTTCTTATTGCCTATATGAAAGCATTAACTAGTCTAGCTGGAGCACATTATATGCCAAAAGCTGGGAGTCAGTGGAAGCTAAAGAGTCGTAACAAGACTCAAACCCATCTCCTCTAGCCACACCAAACTCAAACACATTCACATTATGGTGAACGGATCAGAGTATCAATCAACGTTTGAATCATTGTTTAAAGTTAGGTTTTTGGACAAAGCATACATGCAATACATCTTTAAAATGGAGTCTCAACAGTATAAACTAAGGCAGTTAGAACAACAGTTCATGCTTTTCATAGCAATACCCAGTTCTTTTTTCCTTGAGTTAGTAATATTAACTTCATGGACTTGGCAGCAATCAGCTTATGCTCTTTCTGGGCTGTGAAACAATTTTAAAAGTGCACTATTATTGCCTATATAGCATTGGCAGCTACCAAAGAAATATACAATTATACACGATGATTACTAAGGATTTTGAGAATGTTCCTCACTTTTATACCACAGCAAGTTGAACAACATAATGCAGAATATAATGCGGTCATAAGGGTTATCTAGTGCTATGCACTGGTTTTTGTCTTGATTGTTATTGGATCAGACAACTTGTCCACCTGTACTCCAGTAAGGTAATACTTTATGCTAACTAATACTAAAATTCTGTTTCTTGTCAAAAAAAATATTTTACTGGCCGCTGAAATGCTAGCATTTCCTTTTCTTTTAGCAGTGGCAAAACAGTGACTAGACAAGATTTCAATGGTGGGTCACCTGAAGGACACTTGAACTGTGCTTTAAAAATGCGTCTTCTCTCTTCTCGTGGTCTTCACTAGGGCATAGCATATTGTCCCTACCGCCCTAATCTGTCATGAAATTGGAAATTCTGGGTGGAATTTGAACGAACTACCTTTATTAAGTGTCTTGGTAAAGAACAGGGTTGATATGTACTTACCAAGTTGCAGTCACTGGAAGATATTTAGCCCAAATTTTTATTTGGACCTAATTTAGAGATTTAATTTGAAAACTTAATAATATGTTAAAAATATTTATAATACGTTCAAAATTTCAGGATGACAAAAATGGGAATGCTACAATGAATATTTGGTAAATTAAGAAAAAATGAATTTAGGTGGTTTGTACATAATGAAAGTTTACCACTGCTCCAATGAAAAAAGTGATGTAACAGCTATTGATGATAATCGCAAAAAATAAAATAAGAACAAAATTAACTTTAAATGAAAGTGTCAAATGATATGATAAATTATGATTTACCGAAAAATATGATCCTTAATAGAGCTGAATTACAAAATAAAGTTAATGTGGCCAACTTGAAAAATGTTACCATAATACGTTGACAAATTAAATTGAATTTTACCAAAAGTTGAAAGTAACATTTTTTGGATGAGTTGAACTAATACAAATAACTCATTATAAGTGAATTTTAATGATTCGCATCCTACTTCTTATTCAACTTAGTCAAATAATCCCTAAATGTTATTATATTATATATTAATATAAATCTCAAGTTTTATAAAAATTGAATAAGATATTAAGAAGTCAAAGAATTTAATCAGATATTAAGAAAACTAAAAGTAAATCTATAAAATGTAATGTAAAATATTCAAATTCAAGTTTAAATATGATAATTAGTCAAAAAAATCCATACATACCTAAGCCTCACAAATTAACAACCGGATTGTATTTAAATTAGGTCCAATCTATTTATTGTCCATAATGCCAATAAACCAAGACCAAATAATATGATCTAACATAATAAATAAAATTTAAATTTTGAATAAACAAAAATAGGACCAAAAATATAAGTTTTAAATAAATAAAAATAGAACTAAAAATATCACCACTAAATTATTTGATCTATATTTTTTATTTTATTTTTCGGTCACCCAATATTACCCCTCCTCCGTATTTACATAGGAAAACTGAAGACAAAAAGCGATCTATGCACATATGTTGGGACCAAGATTTTAATACAGTGGTCCCCGACCTAGCGTGAACGATGCCCCAGTCAATTGAGTCACTGTTATGCCTACCATGATCCCACGAAAAGCCTTAAAAGATTCGGACTCCTACTCGGACACCTCTGGTCCTGTACGGGACCAAAGAACATCGTTGCTCTAACGCACCACAGTCGAGAAGCTTTACGAGCTGCAGACTCGTACCTTTGGTCCTTCACTGGAGCATAAAGTTGATTAACAAACACACATACATAATTTCTATGGTTGAATCCTCATAGTTTTTTCAGTATGCAAGTATGGTGTAGTAAGTCATCCACTTCAAAATAAAAAAATTGTATTTATGATATAATTTTTTACCTTGATATTCCATTGAACTGATTCTTGCGACATTGTAAATAATATTTCAATCCCTAAACAGTTTATAAAGATAAAAATTTGTGAATCTACCTCTAATAAAGTCGAAATTGTGATATAAATTTGGCATAGTAAGTCATCCATCTCCGGGTTTTCACTACTTTGAAATTACATGCATTCTTTTTGTCCAAGTGTTTGGATTATCTTTAATTTCTACCTAGGTAGACTGCACCATAAACTAGGCCTGGCTCCACTCCTAGGCAAGTGATGCAGTCGCCTAGAGGCCCCACTCGCCTAGGCCCATTTGTGTAACCGTCCGATGATTATCATTCACATAAGTATGTTTATCTTGCAAGCTATTTTCAACCTCAAATATACATACCATAAAAGATATGAATTTAAATATTTAAAATCAAAAACAAAAGTAAACAAATTATTCATCTAAAAATAATTTAGGACTCATCTAAAATTTTTGTTTAGGGCCTCAAGTATTCTTGGGCCGGCCATGCCATAAACAAGTTAGATCTAAAGAAATTACAAGCATACATACGAACATAAATAAAACAAAGCCTCCTACTTAAAATTCATTCAGCTCCCAATTTTAAAAAGTCCAACAATAATCCAGAACCTCTAGATCTAACGACTTAGCTTATTACTTATATTTTAGTCACAAATTCTTTCTATTTATATTTGAACTTTTAATTATAATAAATAGTTGAATCACCCATTTATATTTTAATCACTCATGGTTTAACCACACTAAAAAAAAACATGTTTTGCATGAGTTCACCGTACTACAAACAGATGGAGTAGTGCACATCTACATTGTGGGTGTGTTTGATTTAAGCATTGGAAAGATCGGATTAAATAATATCATTCATCCCTTATCCATCAATTTAGCCCTTGTATTAATCATAGTGATAATTTCTCTTCATCCTATTTTTGGTTCAAGTATTAAGAAGTAATGAGCCCTATATTAATCAAATCCAATACTTTGTTTGAATTGAGAATTCAATAATAGTATAAACATTAAATTATTAAAGAACTCTCAAGATAAAAAATGATATTTATATCCTAAAGATACTTGAGGATAAAAATGTCTTTTGGTCAAATACATCCAATTGGATTATTTAAACCCACCAAAAAAATGAGTTTATTTAAAGATTGTACATAATATTATCTATACTGAGCTGTTATTGTTTTTAAATGATAATATTGGACACAAAATATATATCTAAACATAAATATAAAAGGAATAAGATGGGCCCTGACGTTATTTTTTTTCAATTGCTCTTTGCTAATAGCAAACACACCTTTTATGGATACGAAAACCCGACTAATGGCAGGTGCACACCACTACGGGAGCTTACTATATTTGTTTGATTTCACGAAGAAGGGAAAAGAAAAGTTGTGAAAAAAGCAAATAAATAGGAAGAAGGGATAATAGGCATAGGATTAGAACCTGTGCCGTCAGGCTTTTGACGGCTTCTTTTGTCCTGGGAGTCTCACGCGGGCCTTCCTCGTCTCCTCTCTCCTCCATTCTCTGCTTAGAGCACGTTATACACGTCAACATCTTTCCCTTCTCTTCTACTTTTTGCTTTTTCTCTTTTCTGTTCTCTCTCCCTCAGTACCTGCAAAAAATGGAAATTATCAAACTATTGAAACACATATTTATACTAACAATAATTTATGATCGAAAACACTGTATAATACAAAAAATTGAACACTAATCACATAATATTTATATTTTAACATAAAAATAGAAGAAAAATAAGTATAAATTAATAGAATTGACTTATATTGGGGGTCGTACAAAAAAAATGATATTTTTCATCTAAAAAATAGGATAAATTTTATACCATTTGAAAAAAATAGGTAAAAATTAAATTAA